ATATATAGGCTTACTCAATTTTGAGAACCCGATATATTGTTAGAATTGTAAGAATTATCATCTAGAACAAGAATTTAATATATTTATTAACATATATTTATTTCACAACGTGAAAAGTTTTATTTATTATTCACAAACAGATAAAAAAGTTCATATTATGAAACACATATATGTGAAACAATCACATTAATTGTGAAATAAATATATGTTAATCAATATATAAATCCAAGTTGTAGATGGAAATAATCATGTGAAATAGCACAAGAATTCACCGATTCTCAAAGTTATCACAATTTTATGGGTTCTTAAATGAAGACCCCTATGTATATATAGAATTGGGATCATGTGAGACCAAACTGTTTTTGAGAAACCATCTAAATAATACTAAACCTTTACAACAAGTCACTATGTGTTTGCTGTGAAGGTTCAGACTTTTTTTTACCTTAACAATATTTTGTTGTAAAGTTTCAAGTGTTATGTGGTCTCACAAAAAATAAGTTGGTATACACATCGGGGGAATTAAGAGGAAAACCCTTGAAAAATTCTAACCTTATACACATAAATATAGACGCATTAGGACACATAAATACAAACGAATGATGCAAGAAGTTTTAGTAAATACAAATATCGTGAATTCAAATCTTACACTTGTATATTTGTTTGATCAATTTACACCAAATCTATCCTTTTATCTTCTATAACATCAACGAATTGTAGATCTTTTTAACCATATATATTTAGTTTTCCATTACAAATATTGATCATTCTTTCGAAAAATTAATGTTAAGGGAATTTTGACCCTAAATGACAATTCTGACTTGGAATTACGTGAGACCAGCTTGTTTTCGTAAGACCCGTTATACCACTTTTTTACACTTGAAACTTCACAGCAAAACGCTGTGAAGTAACTTTCACAGTGTTTTTGTTGTGAATGTTCGACTTTTTTTTACCTTTACGGCGTTTTGATGTGAAGTTTCATATGTAAAAAAGTGCTCTCACGGGTTTCATAAAAGCCGGTTGGTCTCACGTGAACCCAACCCTGACAATTCTTTTGAGATTTGGGAATTATTGATTTCCAAGAAACATCATAGTTTGTTGAATTAAGCGGTTTTATATACTTTATGAAGGAAAAAACACGTGGTTCGCTTTTTATAAAATACCGTCCATTTTTAGAAAAAAGTTCCTTTTTGTATTTTTGTAAAAACGATAGCGTTTTTATTAATACATAAATAAAATTTTATAATTGTCATAAATTTTCTATAAAAAATAATAAAATAAATGAATAATATTATATAATGATTTTTGTAATAAAATTTATGGTCTTTCCTTTACACAGACACCAGACTTCTTTTCATTAGTTCCTTTCTCTAAAACCACCTTCTCTTCCTCCCCCAAGCCCTCAACATCTCTCACCATCAATTCCCTGGTGAGAACACCTTCATTTCTTTTTATACCCATATGAACTCTGCTACACTCTCTGTGTTGTCTCTTTTTCTTGCATTTTCTTGTTATTATGTATTCTTTTGTTCATAGTCTATGTATATCTTCTAGACATGAGCTTGTATATGTTATTTCATGCCAAACTTCACACAGACACATAGATATAGACAGACACAGACACATACACATATATATGTATGTATATGCCATTACTTCATTTGCTTAACTGCACTTCTACATGTGGCTCTTGTTACCTACAGGTTTGTATGCAAGTTCAACAAAAAATTTCCTCCTTTTCGAGTTATTTTGGGGGTTTGCTTTGTAGTTATATGTTACTTGGTTGAATCAGAAAATAAACGGGTTTTTGGTAAGAGTACTGATCCAATGGAATTAGTCCACAAAAATACAGCTATACTGATGTCAAATTTGCATCTCGAATGTGTATGGAGTTTTGCTTGTAGTTCGTTGCATCATTTTATTTGTTTGATGTTTTTTTGGCCGTTCTTGCCTTTAAGTTTGGTGTATCTATATGTTTTGTGGATTCAAGAACGGATTGAAGATTCTGCGGTGAATTGTTGATGATTATTAGACCAAATGCTTTCTCATGGTTTCTTTCGATTAAGTTTAATGGTCTTGTTTGATGATCTATTGTGTCACGACGATGATTTTGATTTTAGGTTTTTAGATTGTTTTGCTTGATTTAGAATTTTGGGTGTTACTCGCTCTTTATGTTTTGGATTGTTAGTACAAAAACAAATCAATCCGAGGAGATTGTGTGAATATGGTACACAAATCAAATATCATCGATCCATCCACACGATGGGTTTCTAGCAAAAACCATAAATGAAATCGGAAAGAGGGTTTGTCAATGTATCTACAGACATATATAGATAGAATATCAAGTGATCATTATTAGACCAAATGCTTAATTATACATGGTTCGTTTCGATAATTAAGTTTAATGTTCTTGTTTGACGATCTATCATGGCGATGATTTTGGCTTTTAGGTTTTAGATTGTTTTGTTTGATTTAATTTTTTGGGTGTTAATCGCTCTTTCTGTTTTTGCATTGTTAGTACAAAAACAAATCAATCGGATGAGATTGTGTGAGAATGGTAATTAAATCAAATATCATTGATCCATCCGCACAACGGATTTCTAGCAAAACCAATAATTAAATTGGAAAAAAGGGGAGCGTCACTGAGTTCAGGGTTGTTTACATTTTTTTTGATCATTAAGCCCTGTATACGTTAAGTTGACAGTGTGGATAAACTTGTCTATCCAAGCGACGATAGACCGATGGGTTTGAGGGAGGCAAAAAGTGAGCGCCTGATTATTTCTAGGGCATATATGACTTATTCCATATAGTGATTTAATTTGGTTTAATGGCTTAATTTATTAAGCCATAAGGAACACTTTGTATGGCCGAGCGAATAAGCTGTCTAGACCATTAAGCTCATTAAGCTTGTAAGTAAACACCCCCACGGCTTTGGTTTTTCAAAATGATCTGATTCATTGCTCTAAAAGAAATTAGAGGCACTAAGCAGTTGGATGATCAAACCAGCTGCCTATGTGAATGATTCAAAATAAAGAACTTTGAGAACAAAAGTCTTGATTTTTTATTGTTTTCCATTTGTAGATCATTTGTAGATCATTTTTGCGCTACCATTCAAAATAGTATTATGTGATTTTGCATTTGATTTGTGGTAATCATACTAATGGTTGTTTCATTTAGTTGTACTTTCTTGATCAACTCACACTATTTTTCGGTTTTTATCAGATTTTTGAGTAAAAGGCTAACAGTATGGTTAAATTTGGCAAACTGAAAACGACTTCTCAAGTTGGAGCTGAGTACCAAGCAATCATTCCGCCTCTGATGGAAGAATACAAACCTTCAGAGGATTTTCGTTATGGTCTCCCAATTCCAGTCAAATGGGTTCGCGACGATCAATCTAAAACCATCACCGAAGAAGCAATTGAATCTAACAATGCAGGTGAATCGGCTATAGTCGATGATGAGAAAGAATCGAAGCTGAAAACGCAGGACAACGATTTGCTTCCTCTTCCTGGTTTAGTGACTGAAACTTGGAGCGCGATCGAACATGGTAGTTTTCTTCTTGGCTTATATTTATACGCCAAGAATTTTCCTCTTGTGAAAAGATTCATGGGGAGCAAAGGAATGGGAAGCATAATGAGTTACTACTACGGCGAGTTCTATAAATCTGATGCCCATCGCAGATGGTCAAAATGGCGAAAGGAGAGGCGTAACAGGCCCCTAAATGCAAGAAAGCTTTTCACAGGGTGGAGCCATCATGAGCTTATATCTCGTTTATCTTCTAATGTGACCGATGAAGTCAAAGATCGTTTGATCAAGGTATTTCTCTGAGAATCACTACTTTTTGCGCTACCAGTTACGCTCTACAATCATATATTTTCAGTTTCTTGAATTTTCACAAAACTTATGATATTTGCAAATTGCAATCATGTCGTAGAGTGCATTACTTTTGATCGGGAAATTTACATAAATAGCCAAAGGTGATAGGTGGTTTCACTTTTTAGCTATTTTCTAATCCAAATTCGTTTTTTAGCCAATCCTTACGCAGAAGGCTTAAGCATATGCATAATTGGTTTTCGGCAAAACAAAAAACCCTTACACATATATGTGTAAGTTTTCTACGTAATGATTCTTAATTTTTTGGCTGAAAACCAATCTTTACACACATGCATAAACGTTTTGCGTTAGAATCGGCTAAAAAGTGAATTTGGGTCAGAAAATGGCTAAAAAGTTGTTCATGACTGTGGGGCTTGTTTGAATATATAGTCAGCATTGTTATAGTTTGTATAAGGGCAAATTGATTTTTTTTCCTATGACATGAACCCTCTGAAGCTCTGATCTTGTGGATATTTAACAGTTTTTGTTGTTATTCAAGAAAATTTTGTTCCGAGTTTTATGTACTTGTTCTATGAATTCTCTCAGGATGGTACAAGATATATCGAAGGAAGACTTTCACTTACAAGGTTCATATTCAATCTAAAGGAAAATGTCGGCATGAATCTGCTGGTCGAAGCTGTAGCCATTGGCCAAGAAGAGCGTGACCTTTTGGAGTTTCGTCCGATCAGCGATTGTTCTTATGTCAGTCTAGAGGTAACGGTACCTATCGCCAACACCACCTCCTCTCTTACGCGTGCCAACACCGCCTCCTCTCTTACGCCACAAGAAATCCTTAAAATTTTGAAGGGTGATGCAAGATTAAGCAAAAGGAGGTCAAGTGACCTCTTCTGGGACTATGTCTGGCCGCGCCTTTTAGCCAGAGGATGGAATTCCGAGCAGCCAAGAAGTAATGTTCTCCAAAACCCGAAGAATTTGGTGTATCTGGTACCTGGTGTCACTGAGTTTTCGCGTAACGAACTTAAGAAAGGAATCCACTACTTCGATTCTCTAACTGATGTCTTGAGTAAAGTAGCTTCAGAGCCGGAGCTTCTTGAACTTGAATCGGACCAAGAAGAGCCGGTGAACTCAGATGCAAACAAAGACCCTGACAACCAAGAACATCAGGATTATGTCGAGCCAGATGTTCCTCAAAGCAATCAAGATTTGAAGATGTTTACGATTGTGGATGCTAGTTTGGATCGTGACAAAGATGGGATTTTCAAATTGACGGAACTCCCAACTTATATGGTTGAAGAAGAGACCGGTGAGCTAGATGTTACCGAGAGCAGAAACCAAGCCTCAAGCAATGTTCCTCAAAGCAATCTGGATTCGAAGCCGTTTACGATTGTGGATACTAGTTTGGATCGTGACAAGGATGGGGTTGTTCAATTGATGGAACTCCCAAATTTGCCTGTTTCTGAGCCAACTTATCATGTCGAACAAGGGCCTGGCGAAAACATTGGATTTCAAGAAAAAACATCATCGGGAAACAATGGTGAACATGAGGAAATGGTCGAAGAACCACGCTCAAAGAACAAGCACGAGCCACAGATCATCATAGACCTGAACCTATCTCGAATGATTCCACATACAGACCCTAATCAATCATCACTTTCTGCAGAACCAACCAGCAACCAGGTTGAGTCTTCGAATGGCGCAGGAGCCAATATGCAGCAGCAGCTGGTCTTGGAGCCACAAAGGCGCTACAGTACCAGAAGCCGAATGTTAAGCACAAAAGCCTTGGAAGCTCTTGCTTTTGGGTATCTAAGCCCAAAGAAGAAAAGAAAGACAGCAGAGGAGAAGACGCCTAGGCAGACTATTGCAGTCTCGAGCGGTGGTGCAAGGAATGTCGAGAATGCGGTGAATGGTGCACTGAATGGAGCGACCGATACGGTGGAGAGATCTCCGGAATGATGCCCGCTGATATCACAGCTTGGCTGTCAAAGGGTGATCCCTTGCCAGTTCTAGCTTATATGGATTTTTAGAGTTAAGTGAAATCTAATAAAATGAACATGAAAAATGTTCATCTGCTTTGTTTTCTTATCGAACTTTAGAGTTGTTTCGGTTTATATCTAGAGTTGGGTCAAATATAAATAAAGCGGACGTGCGACTTATTTTATCAAGCAAACTTGTTGTGTTTCGGTTTTTCATCAAAGTTTTAGAGTTGAAATGTATTTGTAGTTGATTGCGTTTTGTAAACAATCGATAATCGACATTATTGATGATTTGCTGACGGCGTCGACATAACCCGTAAAATTTACTGACAACGTTTAGTTTCCAACAAGTTTTATTATAACCAATGGCTTTACCCATTTGTAATTCGTCACTAAAATAATATTATGCTCTTAAAAATAAATTGAACCACACTTCATCGACATATTACCGACAGGTTATCAACGATTGATATAACCAATGAATTACCGAAGGACATTGTATTTATGACAGAAGGATTATCGATGGTTTGCTTTCGATGAATTACCCGTGGTTCCTATTTTTGGTGGATTACCAAAGGATTTGTCGTTGGCAATATTTGTGTTGCAAATCTGTCGCTACAACTTCCATCAGCGATACGTCGGTAATTAATTAACTCATCTCTATGACAGCAGAGTTTGGATTAATTAGTTAACATATATTTCAACGATATATGTATTCGTCTAAAATCCGTCGAAAATAATATATCGAAATAAGTTCATGAATTTAACTATTAATTTTTGGGTTTCCATCGAAAAGTCGTCGAAGATATTAAAAAATATAACTAATTTTAAAAATTGTCTAACAGGTCCGTTGAAGAGGCGTCAAAAATTCAAAAAAATTAATTTTTGGGATTCCGTCGTAAATACTTCGATAATTTCAAAAATAATTAAATAATTTTGGGGTGTAAGAATGTGTATCGGTAGCATTTGATCCGCAGAAAAGGACAAGACCGAGCATAACTAAAATAACAGGATTGAACTGTACAAGTTGTCTGTAGAACTGGGATGAACAAGATGCCTCTACATGTTGTTTGTTCATTTTATATGATTGTTATTGTCGGCAAATCATCGAAAAAGCCCGTTATCAATAGTTTTCCGACAAAATTATATGTCAACGATGTTTGTTTTCTAGAATTGTCAAGCATAAATTCAAGTTTATAGAAGCTCGACTCTATATATGTATGTATTCATCGTCAAAGCTGTAATGTATATATTCTCGATCAAATTCTAATCGAGTTTGTTTTATCGCACATGACTTCGATATATTTTCTAGTCATTTAAACTCTATATTTTCTAGTTACAATAAATATTTTTGAAGTAATTCAAGAGCTTCAATATTATTTCTTAAGTCAAGCTTGAGCCTGTACTAAGACGGGGCTATCAAATTGATTTTGAGCTTAATCGAATACGGCCAAATCGAGCTTGCGCTCCACCCTGAGTTGCTTACGGTCATAATAGGAAGGGCATGATCGAGGTACAAAATACTAATTTACAAATCGCAATCAAACGACAAATATATGCATCATTTCACCGTTCAAACTTTATTGCAGTCTCGATGAAATCCCCAAACACAACAAGTTTGCTTGATAAAAACAAGCGCATGCTCGTTGTAGTTGTGTTTGACCTAACTATAGATAAAAACCGAAAACAACTCTCATGTTCATTTTATTTGGATTTCACTTAACCCGACCCTACAACAAAATTGACTTTATATAACGCCTATAATAGAATACATTATAGAACTTAGATTTACAAGACCAAACAATAAAGCGTCATGTCTAAAAATGTTATAATAGGTTTATAACACGTTTTTTAAGACATTTTTAAAATAAAATGTCTTATTAGCTATTTTATAGGACATTTTTTAGAAGTATCATGTAAACCCATCTTTTTATGGAAAACTTGTGTTCACAGGACATTTTTTTCAAATAGTGTTGTATAAAATAGTCAATACGACATTTTATTTAAATAAAACGTCCTAAAAACTTGTTAAAACACTTAAAAACGTCCTATAAACCTATTGTGACACTTTTAGATAATACGCTTTTTAGTTTGGTACTATAATTAAGTCCTATAAAGTATGTTTTTAAGACGCTTCTACATTTTAGGTGTCTATAAAATCAGTTTTGTTGTAATGCTATCACAGTACCATCTGATCGCCTAGCCGTCGGACCGTTGAATGGACCATCCATCGCGTTCTCAACGTTCCCTGCACCACCACCCGAGACCGGAGAAGTCTTGCTACAAACCCGCCTAGGTGGCTTCTCCTCTGCGCGCTTTCGTTTCTTTTTTGGGCTTAGATACCCAAAAGCAAGAGCTTCCAAGGCTTTTGTGCTTAACATTCGGCTTCTCGTACTGTACCTTTGTGGCACCAAGACCGGCTGGTGCACTATAACGGCTCCTGCATTCGAAAACTCGAGCTGGTTGGTGGTTGGGTTTGCAGAAAGTGATAATTGATCAGGGTCCGAGTCCAGAGCCATTTGAGAGAGGTTCACGTCTACGATGATCCCTTGGTCGAGCTTGTTCTTTGAGCATGGTTCTTCGACTATTTCTTGATGTTTACCGTTCCCTGATGTTGTTTTTTCTGGAAAACCAATGTTTTCGACAGTATCATCTACTGGCTTTGACTCGCTGTAGAACTCGCTACTTTTTGCCTGATGCTCTTCATCGTTAGAGTCTCGGTTTGTATCTAAGTCCACCGACTCGTGTTTTTCAGATTCGAGTTCAAGAAGCTGGGGATCTGAAGCAACTTTACTCAAGACATCAGTTAGTGAATCGAAGTAGTGGATTCCTTTCTCAAGTTCGTTACGCGAAAACTCAATGACACCAGGTACCAGAAACACCCAATTCTTCGAGTTTTGGTGAACATTATTTCTTGGCTGCACCGAATGCCATCCTCTGGCTAAAAGACGTGGCCAGACCGCGTCCCAAAAGAGGTCGCTTGACCTCGATTTGCTTAATCTTGCACCGCCCTTCAAAATTTTAAGGATTTCCTGTGGGGAAAGAGAGGAGCTGGCATTGCCGATGGGTACCTCTACGCTGACATAAGACCAATCGTTGATCTGCCGAAACTCCAAAATGTCACGCTCTTCTTGTCCAATGGCTACAGCTTCGACGAGCAGATTCATGCCGACATTATGCTTTAGATTGAATATAAACCTTGTAAGTGAAAGTCTTCCCTCGATGTATTTTGTACCGTCCTGAAAGAATTCATAGAACAAGTACATAAAACTTGGAAAAATTAATTCTTGAATGACAATAGAAACTGCTAAATTTCTACAAGATCAGAGCCTCAGAGGGTCCATGCCATAGTAAAAAACATTCACACTACAACGAAATTGGCTTTATAGGACGTCTAAAATGTCTAAGTGTCTTAATAGAGTATTTTATAGAACTTAAGTTTATAGGACCAAACTATAAGACGTCTTATCTAAAAGCATTACAATAGGTTTATGAGACGTTTTTTAGTGTTTTAACAGACTTTTTAAGACCTATTTAAAATAAAGTGTCGTATTAGCTATTTTATAAGACACTTCTGAGAAGTGTCCAGTAAACCTATCTTTTTGTAAGACACTTTTTAAAAAAAAGGTCATAAAAAACATGTTAAAACGCATAAAAGTGTTCTATAAACCTATTGTAACACTTCTAGATATAAGATGTTTTTTTGTTCTGGTTCTATAAACTTAAGTACTATAAAGTATTTTATTAGGATGTTTAGACATTTTAAGCATCCTATGAAAACAATATGATTGTAACGTGTAACTTGTAGCGGAAAAAGTAGTGATTCTTCGAGAAATACCTTGATCAAACGATCTTTGCATCCATCGCTCACATTAGAAGATAAACGGGATATAAGCTCTTGATGGCTCCACCCAGTGAAAAGCTTTCTTGCATATTGTGGCCTTTTACGCCTGTCCTTTCGCCATTTCGACCAACTGTGATGGTCATCGGATTTATGGAATTCCCGGTAGTAGTAACTGATTATGCTTCTCATTCTTTTGCTCCCCACGAATCTTTTCACGAGTCCAAAATTCTTCGAAAATACATACAAACCAAGAAGAAAACTTTTATGTTCGATGGCGCTCCAAGGTTCAGTTGATAAACCAGGAAGAGGAAGCAAATCGTTGTTAGATTCAATTGCTTCTTCGCTGCTGGTTTTACGAACCCATGTAACTGGAATTGGGAGACCGTAACAAGTAAACCCTGAAGGCTCGTAATTTTCCATCACAGATGGAATTTTTGCTTGGTTCTCGACTCCAACTTGAGTAGTCGTTTCTGGTTTGCCGAAGTTAACCATACTGTCAGCCGTTTACTGAACAATCCGATGAAAACAGAAAAATAGTGTGAGATTTGATCAAGTACAACTAAAGAGAACAACCATTAGTAAGGTTAGCATAAATCAAATGCCAAATCACATAACACTGTTTAAGAAAGAAACTCAAGTATGATCCTAAAGCTATACATGACCGTTTGGTAGTAGCTTAATGATGTAGAAAGTGGCTTATTTAGTAAGCTTACATGAGAGAGCTTTATGCAGAAAGTCCAATGTTTTCCAAACATGTCACTCTCAGTTAAAAAACACGTTTCTTCAATCTATGAGAAAACTCTCTCAAACAAAATCGTTATCAATCTAGCAGACACATTAATCCACACATACAACTTTATCCATACATGACTTAATGGAAAACCAACCAAACACCCTCTTCGATATAATCCAATGGGTTATAATATTTGAAGAAAATAGAACCTCTATATGTTATCATTTGAAAGTATCAATCACCTCAGATATCTATCTATATCTGTCTGTAGATACATTGACACACCCTTTTTCCAATTTAATTTATGGGTTTTTGCTAGAAATCCATCGTGTGGATGTATCGATGATAGTTGATTTCTTTACCATTTTGTCACGATCTCCTCCGATTGATTTTTTTTCCCGAA